AGACAGAACTCAGCGGTACTGTGGACGCAGGTATAGTTTTGTCGACAAAAGTCCACTTTTGTCGACAAAACTCTGTAGTCTAGACACACCCTTGGAGTGAGAGATTAATTCATTCTGCAATTCCAGTATGGCCTCAATTTTGTAATTGATAGCATGCAGGTATACAGCTGCATCTGTGTGCAGACCACTGAAGTCAATCAATGCAGGTGCAGCAATTCACCCAGTTAGTACCAGTTAATGCCAGTGGTGAACATTTATATTTTGTCACTTTTGTCTAATCACATACAGATATAACAGCTGGAAGAGGAGATGGTGGTGAGTCAATTTATGGACCCACTTTTGAAGGTATATGTACATTTCCTTATCTTACTCAGTGCATAAGTCAAATTTCAGGTAAATAACTGAATTTTCACTGAAGTATTCTAAGATTTAGTTAGATTTGTTTTCCTACATTTTCATGACTTACATTTTGGCAGTGGTTTCAGACTTGCTCATATTGATCAGGATTATTATCTGTTGGTTATTAGCATTAGTGGGTTGATTTTTCTGCCTTGTAATTGTGGTTCTGCCACTGATTCTCTATGTGATTTTCAACGTCACCTGTCTGCAAAATAAGGATAACCCTTAACAACCTACCTGACAGGAATGTTATGAACAATAATGCTTGTAAAAGGGCTTTGAAAATTTGAAGCACTACTTAATGGGTAAATTTTAAATATGGTTAATGTGCTTCCACTGATATTGCATATTCATTTGTGATGATTCTCTGGCTGACCAGAACTGTGAAAAATCTTATTCTCCTCCTCCTCCAGCAGGAGGAAGACTTGCTGGTGCTTAACTGGATGTAAGCTCCTTGGCATTATCAGCCTGTTTACCCACTCAAACAATCTCTCAGATCTCTGCAAGCCTTTAGTTTGCCTAATAGCTGTACCTGATACTTGCACCCCTCAAGCCCTTTGAAGCATTCCTCTATGATGTTCAGCACTTTATTACTGAACACTCACAGTAATACCAGGTCTGTTGTCCCCAAGAGAACACTGTACATACCAGTTTGCATAATTCAGCTCAGGATCAGCTCTTTGTACAATGCCACAGCACTGAGATCTGCTTATAGTGAAAACTATTATTAACGTATTATCGTGTGTCAGAGAGGTAGCTGCGTTAGTCTGTAACTTTAAAAATGAGTAGTCCTGTGGCACCTGAGAGATTAACAGAAATATACAGTATCATGAGCTTTCATGGGTAAAATCCACGTCATCAGTTGAGCTGGAACATCATATGAAGTAGGTTTTATCTAGGAAAGCTCATGATACTATATATTTTTGTTAGTCTCTAAGGGTACGTCTAGACTACAGGCTTTTGTTGACAGAGGGTTTGTCGACAGATACTGTCGACAAAGCCTCTGTCGAAAAAGAGCATCTAGACTGCATTACGTGGATTGAAAAAGCAATCTGCTTTGTCGACAAAGAGCGTCCAGACTGCCGGACGTTCTGTTGACAAAAGAAGGCACCTGGAAGTGATTCTGGCAGGTCACAGGGGCAGCCTTAAAATCCAGGCGCTGCTGCATGCTCTTTACAGAGATGCATGCTTAAAGGGATTCTCCTGGACAGCCGTTGCTCTGTTCCTGCTTCTGGCTTGCCTATCTCCTAGAGGGAAAGCAAAGTTACTGGAGTTTTTGCTTTGGTTGCCCTGCTTCCTCAGACACCACAGCAGTTTATTTTCAGGTTTGGCTTTTTGCTTTGCACGGTGTTTTTGGCCATGGAGCTGCCCCTGGGCAGGCAGGCTGGGATGGAACAGTAGGGGGCTGGGCAGGAGGTGGGGCTGTACCTGGGTCTGGGATGGCAGAGGCTGAGGGAGAGGGGGCAGGCTGAGCAGGAGGAGCAGGAGCAGGCACAGGACTGGGGAAGGCCATGCCCTCCTGGATAGTGGTGCAAATCTCAGTGCACTGCTGGACAAACTCGTCCAGCAAGAGCCTGCACCACTCTGACTCTGCCTCCATCCTCCAGTTCATTGCATCCTGCATCCCTTGCAGGACTGAGATGTGCTGGCGCACCAGGTCCAAATACATGCACCAGTGCCAATGGGTTCCTTGCAGCCGTGTGGGTGGTGGGGCAGGTGTGACGCCCCCCTCCTAGTCAGCTGGTCCGGCTGTGGAGGACAAGAGGGAAAAGTCGTCATTCATGCATGCCCACACTTTCCCTGTGAGAGCATGCCCTCCTTTTCAGCAGTCAGTGCCTGTCCTAGGGTCAGGGGATGCTCATGTGCGTCTCAGTAAGACATGGTGTGGCCTGGCCAGCAGCCATTGCCTCCCTGGAGCCCAGAAGGTTTGCAGGCCACCATCCTGCCCCCCACCCCACACACCCCATGGCCAAGCAGCACAGACAAGTGTCAGGCCACAGTTGGGGTTTCCACAGGTTGCAGAGAAGCCTGAAGCTGTGTGGTAATCCCAGTGTCCCCAACCCCTGCCTACACCTGGCATCACTGCCTGCAGGAGCATGTGGTGCCTTGCAGCCATGAGGATGCAGAGGTAGGACGGCCCTCCCTGAGGTGGGCCGTGTGTGTGCTCTCCCCTCCCACCCCCCAGCTGTGATCAGCATGATATGTCACAGCACTGCACCATCCACTTTGCTCCCACCTGCCCTGCCCTGTGTGTGTTGGACCCTCACAGCACTCACCTGATGTTCCCTCCCTGGTGTCTGAAGTTGTCTGGGAGGCCTCCTGAGTGTGGGCGTCTGGCTCCTTGGTGCTCCTGGTGCTGTCTTCCTCCTCCTCCTCCTCTTGGAGCTCCTGGTCATCTGCTGGGGTCTCACCCTGGAGTTGCGGCCGCTGCTGCACAGGGGTCTCCAGGACAGACTCCACAACCCTCTCGGGAGCCAGGGGTTCCCCTGCCCCCAGGATCCGGTCCAGATCCTCGTAATAGGCACAATAATGTGCCGTTTCCCCAGAGCGGGAGCTGGGAGCTGGGATCACGGACCCTGACGTACCCCTGCCACAGCTCCTTGACCTTGGCTCTGACCTGGGCTAAGGTGTGGGAGTGGTGGCCTTTCCTTGCCAGGCCATCAGCCAGTCTGGCGTAGATGTCTGTGTTCCTCCGCCTGGACTGTGGGGCCTGAAGAGCCTCCTCCTCAGACCAGAGCTCCAAGAGGGGTTTTATCTCAGGCCCAGACCAGGAGGGTGCCCGGCGTTTGGTGCCCCTGACTTCCTGCAGGGATGTGTCCCTGGAAGGGCCAGGGGGGCTTTGGGAGGCTTGTCCCCGAGTTGCCTGACTGGAAAGAGCAGCGCAGTCTCAGGGTCCTGGCTGGAGCTGGCTTGCTGCCAGAGTGCTGATCCTAGCCCTAGGTGCCTGTGCCTTTGAAAGATGGCTACAGGCAGGAACAGTAGAGTTGAAAGCTGTGGCAGGAGTGTCCACCAGGGCTTCTTCCTGGAGGCCTTTATTGTCGACATAAATCCTTCCCTGCGTCCACACTTACCTTTTGTCGACAGAACTCTGTCGACAAAGGCGTTATTCCTCGTAGAATGAGATTTACTGCCGACAGAACTTACTGTCGACAGAACTTGGCAGTAGTGTAGATGCAGGTATAGTTTTGTCAACAAAAATCCACTTTTGTCGACAAAACTCTGTATTCTAGACATACCCTAAGGTGCCACAGGACTAATCCTATTATCAAATACAAGATATAAGAAGCTTCCGGGGGTAGCCAACTTAGTCTGTTATAGAAAAAAAAACAAATGGTTTGGTAGCACTTTATAGACTAACAAAACATGTAGATGGTATAATGAGCTTTCGTGGGCATAGCCCACTTCTTCACATGACCGGAGTTATGAGTTTAGGATGTGCAGACCCAAAATAAATAGGAGAGGAGAAGGGTAGGGGGAGGAGAAAAAAGGGAAAGGGGGTGGGAGACAGGGAGCTAGACGGAATCAGTAAGTATCTGAAGATTGGGTAGTTAAAACGAAGCAGAGTCAATTGATAGTATCCTTCCTGACTTAGGAGTCTACATAAAGAGCTGCTTGCATCTTCAGCAGCTGTTAAGTTGGTAGTGTCCCAACCAACTTTAATCACGATTGAGTCCATTAGCATGTGAATTGAAGATGAACTCTAATTCCAATGCTTCTGTGTGGATCTGGCTAGTAGAATTGGTTTGTGACAAGACATCTACTTGAAGATCTTTTAAACAGTGATTCGGAAGATTGAAGTGTTCCCCCATAGGTTCTGTATGTTTCCTTTATGTATATCTGATTTGTGTCCATTGATTCTTTCCTGCAGAGACTGTCCAGCTTGTCAAATATATATAGCAACAGGGCATTGCTGGCATTTGATGACACAGTCAAATGACCTTTTGATTTGGTAGCTTATGTTGTTGGCCCCAGTGATGAATTCACCAGTATAGATATGAGGGCAGAGTTGGCATCATTTTTGATTGCAGGGCTGGGTTCCTGGAGGCTTATGATGTGGTTTTGTGGCATGGTTACCAGAAAGAATTCGTTTCAGGTTGGGGGTTGTCTGTAAGCGAGAATAGGCTTTTCTCGCAAGGCCTCTGAGAGTGAGGGATCATGTTCCAAGCTGGGTTGTAGATTGTGTATAATGTGCTGGAGGGGTCTGAGTTCTGGGCTATAGGTAATAACAAGAGGAGTTCTGTTATTTTCTCTTGTGGGTCTGTCTTGAAGTAGTACATGTCTGGGTACTTTTTTGGCTCTGTCAATTTGTTTTTTCACTTCTCCAGGTGGGTATTTCAGTTTTAGGAATGCTCTGTAAAGATCCTGTAGGTGATTGTCTCTGTCTGTGGGGTCGGAGCAAATCCAGTTGTCTCTTAGGGTTTGGCTGAAAACAATAGACTGAGAAATGTGTCTGGAATGGAAGCTGGAGGCATAAAGGTAAGTGTAGCGGTTGGTGGGTTTCCGATATAGGGTGGTGGAAATTTGTCCATTATTTAATTGTATTGTAGTGTCCAGGAAGTGGATTTCTCATGTGGACTGGTCCAGGCTGAGGTTGATGGTGGGGTGGAAGTTGTTGAAATCCTTGTGGAATTCTTCAAGAGTCTCTTTTCCGTGGGCCCATATGATGAAGATGTCATCGATGTAGCGTAAGTAAAGTAGGAGTTTTAGGGAGCGAGAGCTGAGGAAATGTTGTTCAAGGTAAGCAATAAAGATGTTGGCATATTGTGGTGCTATGCAAGTGCCCATGGCTGTGCCACTGACTTTGAGATAGAAATTGTCTCTGAACTGGAAGTAGTTGTAGGTGAGGACAAAGTCACAGAGCTCTGTAATCAGGTGTGCACTGTTGTTATCAGGGATGGTCCTGATGGCCTGTAATCCGTCTTCATGTGGAATATTGGTGTAAAGGG